TTCTTGGGCGTAAAGAGCTGGTTCTGAGACTTTGCAGGAGTTGTACTTAGAGCGAGGGGGTAGGAACAGGGAAATAAGTCTTCAGCTCCACGCTGTGCAAAAGGCTTCATCTCACTCCTTTAAAAAAAAAAAAAAAACAACCCTACATATTTGCTTAAAAGCTGCAGTTACCATTATTACATTTAATTGATACCCTCGGGGGCTCAAAATGAGACAGGCTTTTATGAAATTTAATAATTTTCCACCAGGACTTGCAAGGTAAAGGTGCAATTACAGCAGCAAGGGATGCTGCTTGCACCGAGGGAGGGCCAGCTGCCCTGACAGCCCCATGCCAGCGCCCCGTGGCTGAGCCCACACCTCTGCCGCACCAGCCCAGATCCCTGCCGCACATCGGGCCTTGCCTCCGCTGCACCACTCACAGGTTGCCTTCGCTCATTTTAGCCTTTAAAAATATTTTTTAAAAAAAAAACCAACCAACCGGACCAATTGGACTCAACAGTGGACCCAATCACCCCGTGTATGAACCTGCCATAATTACAAGCACTCCTTCACTCAGCTGTGTCCTGCCAGCGATGCTGAAGCAAGCAGGGTGCAGAAATGGGGTTCCCCCACGGCCCAGGTGGGCTTTGGGCAAGTCCTTCCCACATCAATAAAACGAGGGAAATATACACCTGCCCGACCGGCGGCAAATCGGCCAACACATCCCTTTAAGTAATATTTTCTCACCTTTGGAAAAGTCCCTCCTTTATCCTGACGCCCAGGGAAGAGCACCCGATGTGCTGATGCAGGAGGAATGGACGAGGAGAGGCTGCCTTGAACCCCCCCTCCCCAAAACGACTGCACAGCGCAGACCCTTTTGAACCGAGCTGCTTCATCACAATCTCCTGAGAGTAAATGCAGCCACAAGGAAAAAAAAAAAGACCCAACTTTTTAATATAAAAAGAAAAAAAAGACCTCCCTTGAGTAAAAACAAATTATTTTTTAACAAAGAATGTCCTGGGGACGGGAAGACAATGTCATGCCTTCGATGCTACAATTCTGTACTTGAGATTAATGCTTTCACCGTTAAGATTTTACCCCAATTATACATCTCCCATAGCAAATAACAAAATACAATTTAGTCCTCTCTAAAGGCAGACTAAATTTTAGCTATTCTTTGCCAGTTTTCAGCTACAGAGCTTAAGAGCAATCTAACAGAATTATTTCAATGTTCCTTTCATCAAAAGTCTATTATTTGAATATTATGCTTCTGGTATTTAGGGCATGCCCACCAGCTATAAGCAAATAATATTAGAGTGTTTACATTTTTCTGCCGTTTAGAGAAATATCCGTTTCCTCTACTTCGGCGAACAGTGGGAGAAAATGCTGGTGTCACCAGGGGCCAATCGCCCAGCAAGGATAAAGCTGACCATTAAACTTCGACCCAACCAAAACTACACTAATGCTGTAGCCTCTGCACGACGCTCGGGAACGGAAACATTTAATTTCTGTGAATAACCAGGTTACGGTTCCCCTCTGCAGCATGCCAGGGAGGCAGCCCAAGAGCAGCTGCATTTGCTGCACGTGGAGACCCCACGTTTGTGGTAAAATGACCAAAAAACAGAAGCAGCAAAAATAACACCAGCGCAGAGCCAAAGGATGGCATCCCTCATGCTCCTTGAGCCCTCAGACTGCTGGGGAAATAAACCCTCTGCTTTTAAGTCATGCTTTTTTTTTTTCCCCTCTGGGATGTTTGTCCAAGCAAATATAAAACATATCCAATATTTCTGACACCCGGTAAGCTGTTATTTTAAACACAGTTTCCATAAACTACAAAAGTTGATACCGTTAGGGCCTTGAAAAATATACGATCTCATTAAAAAAACGCTGGCACTTAGAAAGATCTCTGGTGGCCAATCACAACTTGGGAAGGGCTGTAATTTATAACTTTGATCCCCACAGCTAAACCATTTAATCTGATAATAAACATCAATCACTGATTTTTATTGCACCATTTTGCAGCCTGAGCAGAAAACCTTGCTCTGGCGGACAAATTAGGCACCCCAAAGTGACTCTTGCAAATAAATACCGACTTTAATATTCAGCAATATAATTCCAGGCGATCAATTTTTTTATTCAAGCGCTGCTGGAGCTAGGAAAAAGTTTCTAATTACAAAAATATCCACAAAGGCAACTCAGGTGCATCTGGCGAGCGGGAGCCTGCCTCTAGCAGCTCAGCGACAACACGTACCTTTACGTCTGTTACAGTTGTCATCAGAAAGTTATTAAGTGTGTCCAGATATTCTGTGTGACAGCCCATAACTCACCATTAAAAATGATGCAAGATCCCATTCTGTTGCCATGCAGCCTCTCTCGTTGGCTCGAGGTACTAATCCACCATCTACCACTCAATAGCAGGGGGAAATGGAACAGTCAGGCGTAATACATCTTGCAAGTGGATAACTGCCAGAAAAAATAAATCAGATGGAGCCCATTAATATATAATGAGGCCAAACTACCATTAATTCAGATACTCTTTCCAATCCAGAGAGCTATTTAAGAAGTAACTGAAATAATGATTTTCCTTTGGACGCGTCGAACATCATCATCGCTTAATGCCGGATTTCTGCACTCAGTGGAACGAGGCAGTCCGTCAGTATGCTCTCTGAAATGTTCTCCTATAAACTAATATTTTCCAATAAAGATATAATTGTTATTTATAAATAAGTTCCAGTCCAAGTAAAGACGGATGATTTAAGAACATAAAGACTCCCCCAGCCTTCTTCACGAATACCTGCAAGAATCTAGCAGGCAGGCAGCAGCGAGAACATCGAAATCTGGTGGTTACACCCTTTTTAACAGGATTAGCTGGGTTGTTGCTTCAGGAAGGCAAACTATATCTAAATTTTGTTCTCCAAGAATTCACTTAATAGAACGATGATCTTGACAGGGTAAAAGGTCACTTTTGCCTTCACTTACCACTTCCGTTTCTCCCCAAAAAGACAAATGGAAGAGTAGAGTAAGGAATATTTCTCTTGAGACAAGTACCAAAAAGGGCTGAAACAGGTTTTTATGGCAGGTTTCTAAACCAGCGTTCACATGAAAGCCAGAGAAGTCTGACCGAATGTAAACTATCCCCCATGTCAACCCAACACTGAGGTCTTCGGAGACGGCTCCAGCAGCAGCTAAGCCAGCCCAGGGATCCAGCCACCAGCCGTGCACTCTGAGGCTCGGCCGCCGCAACACGCGGACAGAGAACGTCTGCTCAGGTCAAAACCCAATCAGTCAGTATACACTGATCTTTTAATTATCTCCCCAGAGCATACTCACCTCCAAGGAGCTTTGCTTACATGGAAAATATACCACCTTTGTTCCAAGCGAGGAAAATATATGAAGGCACTTAAAATCCACGCCTTCCAGTCTTGCAACTCCGTGGATACATTTCAGTTACGGATTACAAATATTGGAGCTACTCAAAGTGAACCTTCCAGTTGTCTCTGGTAAACTCTCCAGTGTGTATATAAAATAGCTTTAACAGAGACTCACATCAGCAATTTTGTAAGTGTTGCATTAAATCCAGACGGTGTTTTTCATCTCAAGACAGAAAAATGCATATTAATCCCCCAGCAAAGCAACGCACTGAGAATTTTAAACATTTCTGTCACTATCGGTAAAACCATAATACATTCTTCGTGAGATGAGATACTGAATCATTTTGGTTCATTTGGAGGCCATTTGCTAACTTTATTAGGCAATATTCAGATGATGGATATCAAAAGGATATTCACTGTAGAAACAGGCTTTGTTTCTGAAGACAGTAATTAGGTTAACCTCATGAATAAACCCTTTATATCAGCAGCCTGTACGAAGTGAAAGTAAAAATATGCAGGAGAAAATGAGAAAGAAGAAAATAAATTCATGCAAAGGGAAAAACTTACATCTATGTTTAGCGCTCTCCATCTGACACTTTTAAAACAATGCATACGTGAATAGAAAAGTCACAGCACCCAACGTACCAAAACGTATAGAGTTATAGACGCGATCATAACGCCGTTATGGTCACATAACGAGTATGTGCAATGATTAACGTGTCGTTCAGTGGTTCAGGCAGAGCCAGCCTGGGTGGAAGCATCAGTCCTGAGCACCACGGCCCCGCTGCAAGGGTGTCACGGGCCCCCGCCGAGCCCTGCTCCTGACAACTCCCCTTCCCTGGGTTGGCTTCAGCCCAAAACCTACGTAGACGTGAGTTGTGGGTGCTGGGGGGAAGGTGGAGCTTTTACCCAGCGTTCCTGGAGCTGCAGGGGCTCAACACATCTGCTCCGGGGGGCCACTTAAGTGGAGAAACTCAGCATTGCCGGCCTAAGGGGCTTTTCCAAGGTGGCACGTCACCAGCAGGCTCCAAGCAAAGCCACAGACAGCGCCTTGCCTCTCGGCTACACCACCGAGCAACGAGCCACAACCACTTCCACACATTCTACACCCTCAGAATAATTCACTAGAAAGGGTAAGGAGGGATGAAAGCTTGTGAAATCTGCAAGGGTAGATTTAAGCTGGTACGCTCTGGCATAATTTAAACAGACCAAGCGCAAGCTAACGACATAGTGAACAGAAGAAAAGCCTTCGGCTAACCCAACGCCTCTGCCATGATGGCTCACGGCAGGACCAGAGCACAAGCCCGGTGTGCAGCAGCCACCCCTGTGCAGCATCCCCATCCTTGTGCAGCCAGACTCCCACCCCTACACCCAGCGAATGCAGAGGCACCAGTCAGCTGCACGCTGCAAAGTGGTTTTAATGGAAAAGCAGCTTCTCAGGTTGGGTGGGGTTTTTTTGCTTTTTTTGGTTTGTTTTTAAGCAAACCAAATAAAGCAAATACAAAAGGATTTGGAAGAAGTGGATCTAAGTCAGAAGTGGGCTGGAAGATTCCTCCTGGGACAAACAGAAGTGTGGACTGAGAAAGGCAGAGCCACCGCAAGCCGGCGGCTTCCACCAACTTCCAGTGGCTACAGCCAACACCAACTAACCTGGTCCTGAACGTCCCGAGACTTGACCTGGAAAATTCAGAACAAAAGGTAAAAAGCAGAGGCGGTAAAGAAAAAAAGGTGAATCCCATTTGCACGACACCGTTCAGTCAGTGAATAGCTACATCCTTTCACCCCAAAACACCTCGTAGTTCCTCCACCTCCAGCAAGGTCAGCTCCGGAACAAGTCAAAAAAACATGAAGGACCTCAAAGTAAAATTCAAAATAAAGTCGTTTGACATCTCGTAACCCATTAGTTTAACGTAGTAAACTGCGATTAGCATCCAAAACGAAGGGCCAGCGCAAGGGCCGGCCTGCTGAGTAGTGGGGATACAAGTTTAGGACACTTCAAAAAACAGAGGGCAAAGGCACAAACCGCAGCACGGGGCTGTCCCAGCACAGCCCCAGCCTCAGCACCACAGGACAGGCTCCTCCTGTAAAGTCTGCCATTGCCCTGGAAGTCCCAAAACAATTTCAGGACACAGAGTGCCCTGAGATAGGTCACCTCCGCTGTAACTTGCTCATTTTAAGAGCCATTACAAAGGGTCTTGAGAAGGAGGTTATTTGATTGTAGGCTTTCTCCTTCAGCAGAACAAAGCATTATATCTCAGCACTAACAACGAGATATTTTTCCTCAAGTCAGCTTTAAAATAATGTTGACATTATAGTCAATACATTATATATCACTATATTTCTGTCAGAATCTATTGGCATAAAAATACATCAATCTAAATGCATAGCTCTTGTATTTAAATGAAGCCTGGCAATGCCGTATCTTTCCTTCAATTTTCACTCAGCTTCTCGTATGTTTATCAATTACTTCTGGCAGATTTCATACACCGGGATATCACCTCTAGTCTCACTAAAAATTATTTTAAGTGAATTTTATACACAAAGACTAGAAAAAAAAATCCGGTTTTGGGAGCTCTTCTCTTCAGCAATAGAGTTTTTGATAGCCTAAGCGTTGTAAGTGAAGTTTTACTCTTAACCTCGTAATCAAGGTGGGTCTGAAATGCAGGACAGCAAACGAGGGTCATCCCAAGTCAGCCTGCTCACATTAAAGCAATGACAAAGCCAAACAAGATGGTTTTAAACTCAGGTTAGCAGGTTGATCCACCCAAAAAATACTGACTGTAAGAGATCGCCCACCAGCCACGCAAAACCGTCCAGCGTGGAAGAGGCCAGCGGGGAACGCTGCAAAGAGGTTTTCAGAGACAATTCCCCAGCAGAGCTCATCTCGACCAACAGATCTAAGCTGGTCTCTTCCCACTGCTGCACTCTAAAACAAACCCCAAAATATGCGTATATAAAACCATAAAATAATATTTTTTAAAACTGTAATGATCACCCGCGGACATTCCCTGGCTCCGTGTATAAAGCGGAACTTTAAACCAAGCCCTTAAGTCTTTAGCATTAAGTAGGTTAACCAATTTCCCATAAGCATTTAAGTGACATCCGAGATCCTATCAAGGATTTGCAGCGGCCATAAGCGAGCCGTTTCACCCAGCTGCTATAAGGTAGTTAGTTCACTTACCTTAATTTGAAGTGGCCAGTTATGTTCAATCATCGTTTCGGCTGACAAGAGAAATGCAGGATGCCAGCTCCACTATTTCTGAACTACTGACATCAACAGCTGGTTTATATCTACAGACAGAGCTGCGTAAATATGTAAACACACCAATTAATTAAGATAGTAACATAGATTTTGATAATTTGAGGAACAGCCTGATGTCTGCAGATCCACAGACGCTATATAAAAATACCAGAAAGAGTAAAATTCACTTGTTCAGAGGAAACAGAACAGGAACTATTTCCTTCCTTCTGTTTGCCAGAAGGCCCCACCTTTTTGCTTGCAGAACAAAAATCTCAGCCTTAAATCCACAGATACCCTCAGATGGATATGTAGGTTTTCCTCCAAAGGTGAGGTCCAGCTTCAGGACCCAGCTGAAACCTCTCCAGCGGCAGCTTTCCAGCCAGATCAGCCAAAGCTGCCCCACAACACACCCCCCAAAACCACTCGGCAACACACCGAGTAACGCGCTGGTCTCCAACGTGAATTATTCCCGAAGTGACACGGACCGCAGCGCTCCCAAGGAAACGGAGAAGACCAAGAATTTACCCAGCCTGGAAACAAATTCAAGAGAACTGAGGGGTTTGGGGGGCATAACTACCTGGTTGGACCAAGATTTCACGCAGCAGAAACTTCTCTATCCTGCGGCTACACAAAAGACTGTAACAAAAGGACAAGCTCTTGGTAGAAGAGAAATTACAGAAAACAAGAAGGGTTTGCGATGGGAACACCGAGGCCGGATCACGAAAGGGGTCAGAAGCATTTCTCGTGCCTGAACATGCACACAGGTACAGGAGAAACCACTGAGCATGCATCACACTTCTCTATGAAGGACACAATTCAACAGCAAAATCTGAGGATTTTTTTGACCACTCCTTTCTTTTCCATCCAATCCAGAAGGTTGAATTTTTTTTTTTTTTTTTTTTTTTTTTTTTTTTTTTTTTTTTTGAGAGAGAGTTGTTTTAAATAACTTTGCTTCGTCTAGATCGGGAATGACAGCAGGGGTAACTCCAGCTAGAATTTAAACCTACAGCATTTTACACAACTTCAGGCTTCGCAAAACACATCCGATTGAGGTCAAAGGGATTTTTGCTGAGGATGACAACGCTGCCAGTCAACAGCTCCGGTTCAGGGCAGGGGCTGCGGTGTCACCCGTCCCGTTGTGTGAACCAGGGGCCACCAAAGAGACGAGACAACGGCCGCAGCCATCGCTGCCTTGATGCTGAGATGGCAGCAGTTAGCTCTGCCCTGAGACTTAACCGGCATCTCAGCCAGATTCTCTTTTTTTCTGAAAATTGGGCCGAAGACAACTGTAGTAGAGTTTGAACAGCAAACCTCAGCAGCCTCGGGCAGCCGACAGGGGACACAAATGGGCCAATACTTCAGGAAATGATAGACATCCACATTTACGATTGCTTGAGCAGGACTAGGTGACCTCCAGAGAACCCTTCCAACCTCAGCCGTTCTGTGATACAGCTTTTTAAAAAGGCAAGTTGGGTCACTTAATTACCATACCCTGTTTTATTTGCATGAGAAGAAATAAAAGCAACCTCCTTCTGGTGAAAACTGTTGGTATTAATGTTTGTCTTTGGAAACAAACCTCTAGAGTCATGCACATAAGTGACAGAAGCGAATGACAGCAGTTGCAGCCCTGAAACAAGACCTTTTGTCCCAATACAGAAAACTTTTCTTGTATATTAACGTTGCAGTGCTGACCTCTAGTGACAGATAACCCAGAAAACAGGAGCCTTGGTCGGAATAAACCTAATTTCCCACCTGATCTCATGTACTGGTCCAGATCCACACACCCCCACCCTCAGAGGGCGAGCAGCCCCCAGCAACCCTGGGCAGCAGCTCCCAGTTAACTCCACGGACGTGGTATCCTTATCGCACAAAGCAGTTTTTCAAAGGGTCAAAATATGAAAAGATATGAAGATATTCGAGTGAAAGTTTGCTGCTCAAATTACATAAAGCAGACTATGAAGAAATTGCTGAGATAATTCAGAAGCCGAGCAATGAGTTACTGATTTCGAGATATTTAAGTTGGTTATTTACAGAACTACCTAGTGAGGGCTAAAATGCTTTTCCATACTCAGGGGCCAGGACCATTGCAAGGGAGCGTCTCGGGAGCGATGTAATAACCCAGGAGCTCAGAGATGCTCCAAGGGGCTCGTGTTGTTGATTTACAACATGAGGCAAACCCAAACAGGGCCCGACATGAGAGTGTAAAGCGAGCATCCCAAGTAGATAAAATCAGAGAGGCTCGCCAGAATACGCACATCGTCCTTCCTGTCAGGAGAAAACTCTCCCACGGTTCTGGCTCCGCTGACCACACGCAGAAGATACCAGGTTTTCCCCTAAATTAAAACTAAGGGACACTCAGTCATTTCTTGGTTTGGTTTGATCCTTGCCCTCTTTAGGATGGGATGCCTGCTAACGAACCCCTCCTGGTTCTCTTGCTTTTCTGGGAGATTTGGGAAGTATATGGGGTACAAACTTAAAAAAATATATTATATTAAATTATATGAATATTTTCTAAACGGGACTAACCAGAAAACAGAACCACCTCTACCTCACCCTTTTGGGAAAAGGGAAGCGACATCCCCATTTTCTCAGCTTGCAATGAACACACATTTAGAGCAAAGCCCTCCCCAGCCCGCCCGGCCTGGCTCAGCCTCTGCCCCCGAGCGAGGCTGCCTGTGACTATCCATCACATTTGTTTTCTTGTTGCTGCTACGGGCAAGCTGTAAATTCACCTCTCCTCAACCAACCTGGGTGCAACGCCGCACAAGGGGCACCGCCTCTTGTAAAACACACGCGGGGCTTGAGCCCTTCCCTCAACTGCCCCCCTAAAGTAACCGAAGCTCAGGGGAATTTCAGCACGTGGCAGAGCCTGCATTTGCAAAAAAACTTCATTGAACTGCCCCTGAGACAGAGCGCTGGTGCCCGAGGGCACACACCAAGCCTTGGCAGCAGTCGCTGCTTTGGTTGAATTCAAGTGACGCACCATTTCCATTGCAGCTTTGTCCCTTCAGAGGCTTGAGCGTGCTCTAATGAGGATTTTACAGATTTCTTTGAGGTGGCAAGAGACGAGGGCCAAGAGTGACAAATGACTGTCGGGTGTTCGTGTTTCTATTTCTGGCAGGGAGAGCTTTAAAGCGACAGAAAAGCAGCGCATGGTGCCTGGAGCTGCACCCAGCGATGGAGGGGCTGAAGGAAACAGAGAACGGCACCGTGGGGACGGCTCTGTGCCCTCTCGTGGAAAACTATAAATATATCCTGTTACCCCTTACTTACAGCTTCGTCTTCGTGCTGGGGCTGCTCCTCAACGGAGCCATGCTGTGGCTCAGCTGCTGCCGCGCCAGGGACTGGACCTGCACCACCATCTACCTGGTGAACCTGGCTGTGGCGGACCTGCTCTACCTCTTCTCTTTGCCCTTACTCATCATCAACTACATCCTGCAGGACACGTGGCCTTTTGGGGAGCTGCTCTGCAAGCTGGTACGTTTCTTGTTTTACGCCAACCTGTACGGCAGCGTCCTGCTGCTGACTTGCATCAGCGTCCATCGTTTCCTTGGCGTTTGTTACCCCATCCGCTCCCTCCCCGTCCGAACCCGGCGCCGAGCTGCCGCCGGCGCTGCTGCCTCCTGGGTACTGGTGTTCCTGCAGCTCCTGCCCACCTCTGCCTACGCTCGCACTGGCCTCATCAATAACCACACCGTCTGCTACGACATGACGAGCCCCGAAAACCTCCGCAGCTACTTCCCCTACGGCATGGCTCTAACCGCATCTGGCTTCCTCCTTCCTTTCCTCATCGTTGTAGTCTGCTACTCTCTGATGATCAGAAGTCTCACCCGCTGCGCCGGGGACACCAACCCCACCAGCAGCGCCGCCAGAGCCAAGTCGATCCGAACCATTCTCCTGGTCTGTGGGCTTTTTGCTGTCTGTTTACTGCCATTTCACATCACCCGCAGCATTTACCTCTTCGTGCGTGTGTACCGGGTAGGTGACTGCCAACTCCTACAGCGCTGGAGTTTGCTTTACAAGATCTGGAGGCCACTGGTGAGCCTTAACAGCTGCATCAACCCCCTCCTCTACTTTCTTTCTGGTCAAACTAACAGAGCCAGGCTTGCTTTGGAGCTGAGACTGCCCAAGGCACGTCCTCTTGCCAGGCCTGTTGTGAACACAGAGGGGACACACGCCCCAGCAAGACTTGCCCCTTGCTGAGGAAGCCCATTCCTGCAGATTTGTTCTGCTTCACGGGCTATGAGACTTGGAGAAGAGCCATAAAACTCACCTGCACAATGACAAAAAAAAAAAAAAAAAAAGTGAAAAATTCCCCTAGTGAGGACAAATTTGGATGAAGAACACAAGAATACTTTTATGAAGGACTAAGGGGCAAGTTGCCATCATTTCCTGGGGCAGCTGTGACTAAGTAAAGCTAAAACAGCTTTTCCAAAGGGCCCATCTACTGTTTCTAGTTGCAAAGAGAACTGTAAAGAAAAATGATAGTGAATCACTGAGGAAGACACCAAAGCAGAGGTAAGCAGTCATCTCAACATTAAGAGAATCACAGAATTATCTTGGTTGGAAAAGCCCCTGCAGCTCCTCCAGCCCTACCATGACCCTCCCCCTGACCGTTCCCAACTCCCCCAGACCCCTCAGCGCTGGCTCAGCCCGACTCTTCAACCCCTCCAGGGAT